TTTGGAATTCTCTTGTTTCATTTTTTTATAAAAATTATTTCAATTTGTTCATTAAATATTGAATTGTTATTCAGTACTTATTTAGTATTATACATTACACTCAATTAAGTGGTTAAAATACACAGATGTACCTGAAAAAGCCAGTTCTAATGAGAATTTTTTTTTTAATTTACAAGTACTTTAACAGCTACTATAAAATTTCTAATGTTCTTGTTTTGAAGGTAGCATTTAAATAATTATACATTCAACTAAATGCATGCAATGACTCAAAATGGCATCAGTAGAAACCCGAAAAAGTTCTACAAGTTCTTCAAACCCACAAAGTCCAGTTATATCCAAATCACAAAAGGAATATTCACAGTTATCAAATGTTCAAGATGAACATAATTCCATTAATACTGTTAACAAGGAAGGAAGTAAAATTGTAACTACAGATACAGAAGATAATGCTAATGAGGAATTGCATGTCAAAAGTTGTGATCAAAAGAAAAATGAAAATGAGGAGGATGTGATTATTTTGGAGAACAATAAGAAAGAAGAGAAATGTAACATAAATAAAATAGAACATGTACAGGATACAGAAAGTCTGAATGTAACTTCATCTGATTTTGAGAATGATTCCAAGGCTAATAAAAATGAGAATGCAAAAGAAACTGCAGTTAAAATTGGAAATAGTTTAAAAAGGACACGGCGAAGTTTTGTGTAAGTATAGACAATATTTATTTTCATTTATTGACATAAGCAGGCAAATAACTTAATAAAATAACTTTAATCAATTAAGAAACTAAATTCACTGTTTTAGTACTCAAGAGGCAGAATTGCTTTTAGAAGAAACTAATTCCAGAAGTAAACGAAAGAAAAAGAACACGAGCGATAGATTTTGTTGGCGATGTCACAAAGAATCTGTGGAAGCACAATGCAGCGCTTGTCCTAGGTCATGGCATCGGAAATGTATAGGAATGCAGCAATCGACTATCCAAAATTGGATATGCGGAGAATGTGCATCGATTTTACGTGCAGAAAATGCAGAAACACGCTCCACAGCTATGGCACAATTATCCGTTGATCAGTTATGCTTATTATTGAAACATGTAGTGGAGAGAATGAGAGAGTATCCTGGTGTACGTATCAGCTTCTTATTCACGTTTACGTTCCATTATTCTAGTCAAATCGAGTTTAAATATTTGTGTCGCAGTCAGAACCATTTTGGAAACCGGTGGAACTTTCCGAGGCTCCAAATTATCTCGACTACGTGGTGAAGCCAATGGATTTGAGCCTTTTGGAATCAAATGTTCGATCTAAACTGTACGGTAGTACGGACGCGTTCATGGCCGATGCTAAATGGGTACAACATAACTGTATTGTATTTAACACATGTACGTGCACATACCTTGTATTTTATATCAGATAATTAATTTAGAAAAGTGGTGGTAACATTAATTGACTTGATTCGAATCGTATAGGTGGTGGTGTATACACTGATACATCTAAGTTGACGAATGCTGCGAAGCAGATGATTAAACTGGCACGCCAAGAAGTATCAGAAATCGAAGCATGTCCTGACTGTTACGCACATGGAAGGAACTTACCAAGGCCACAGCCAGCATGGTTTATCGAACCGTGTCGTCGTCCTCATCCGCTTGTGTGGGCTAAACTGAAAGGCTTTCCATTCTGGCCTGCAAAAGCTATGCCTCGAATGAACTCTCAAGGCTTCGTAGATGTACGTTTTTTTGGTGAACATGATCGAGCATGGGTTTCACCACGAGACTTGTATCTATATTCGGAAGATCCACCTGTTCCATTACCACGAAAAAGAAGATTGGATATGGAAGAATGTGTTAAGGAAATTACTCGTCATTGTCGAAAGCTTGAGCTTGTATTTGGACAATTTAAATTTGCTCCTCCTAAAGTGCAATACAATCCGCATGATCCGACGCAAATAAAATTAATGTTACCAAATTATGATCCCCTTCACTCTAATAACTGCGTGTCTTCGCAACTTTCGGTTCCCAAGAAGAAACCATCTTTCAAAAAGCGATTACACGTTAAAAGTAAGTCACAAAGCGATTCAGAGAAAGCAGACAACAATTCCGATACGGAGAATAAAATATCAAATGACTTTAATGCTGTGACTTTAACCGAGGCTAACAAAACTGAAAGTACTAAATCACCATCTAAACTAGTACAGGAAGCTGATAAACTTCCAAAAATCGAAACGGCCGCGGTTACAGGTGTCAGTTCCAATCAATCAATGGAAAAGGAGAGTAAAGAGTACATACAAGCCGATAAAAATGTCTCGGCGAAGTTGGAGACGGTAATGAAAGAAAATACAAAGCCAAGTACAAGTAAAACTAATGCGAATCATGTAAACAATGAAAGTAATACGCCCAAAGTGGAAAAAAATAACAACTCTGAAATAGCAGTGAACGATAATACAAAATCTTTGGGAAATTTATCAAGGCAAGCAGTAACGTCTTCGAAGAAGCACGCGGTAAATAACACTGAAATGGCCAAAAAGGAATCTCTCTTGAAAGTTAATGTTCAAAATAAAGGGGATGTCAGTAAAAATTCGTTAAATTCGCAAGAGAATAGTTTAAAAACTACTGAAAGCGTAGCGACTGTTTATAAACCGAAAACTAGAATAGTTGATAAACTGAACGCCGAAAAAGCTTTAAAGTTTATTACAATCGAACAAAATCAGAAATCGAACACGATAGAATCGACGATCTCGATTAAAGAGAAGGATTCAACGTCATTCAAGGATTGCAACTCTAAAAGTAGCAATGATGATAATTTAAAAGCACCGATGATTTCAACGTCTGTCAATAAGACACAAGTCGAAGTAGACGTTGATGTCAATGATACTCATGGAAAAAATGCAAAAGATCAGTCTGGCATGTTAGTTGCTGGTTTAAACGATGGTACGTCTAGCACCATGAAAAAGTCTACCGGTAATTTAATCGGCGAGAAGGAAAAAAGAAACGATGTTTCGATAATTCAGAAGGCTTCAAGAGATACGCCGCCACAAACATCTTATCAAACGAAGGAAAGTAAAGCAAAAAAATCGTTTCCCAATAAAGCTCGTGATTGTCCGCAATTAATTCCACGCTCATCAACTAGCGCACTATCCAATTCGATCGATTCAATGGTTCATATCTCAGCACATCAGGTTGAAAATTGTGCCGAATATCAAATGCTGCCACCAGAAGCAGGGCCGATTAGTGCCCGTTTGTACCACGGTGCTCAAGATTTAGCCAGAAAAATGGCTCGATTGATGGAAGAAGCATATAAGGAAGCAGCGCAAGAGACTCAAAATTGCGAAAGCGGCGGTGGTGGCGGTGGTGGTGGCGGCGGCGGCGCCATGTCCGAAAATCATCAAGTAACCGTTCATTTTTTACGATTACAAATAGAACGTATGAGATGGCAACATCAACAACAATTAGCCGAACTGAAACACAACACTGGTACGTCCTACTCGCACAAACTAAAAACAATTCTATTATGTTCTTCTAGTATTGGATATTTTCTATTTCAGACAGAATATTAAGAGAAATGAAGGCAAGTTTAGAAGCTGAACGATTACGCGCTATAGAAGAAACTCGTAGGGAAGCCGAAGAAGAAAAAGTACGGTGTGTCGAAGAGATCAAACGTAAACAGTGGTGCGCAATGTGCGGTCGGGAAGCATTGTTTTATTGCTGTTGGAATACAGCGTATTGTGATTATCCTTGCCAACAATCACATTGGCCAATGCACATGAGGACATGCGCTCAAAAACCATCGTTCACTACTATTGTTACCAGTTCCACTGCGAATTCGAGTCAACAGCAGGTGATGCCCAGACTTATGATAAATACACAGCATGTGACGTCAAACATATGGAGGGCCTAGAGCACATCGGTGTAAGTCCCTGAAATCGAAGCGAGAAGTTTAATTAATTATAAATATTTATCGTCTAAGTTTTAGTAATATCGTTACATTTTTATTCCATGGCTCTTCGCGTTTTGCGTTTACATGTAAGTGTTATTAGCGTTACAGCGTTAAAACAAAACGGTACTTTATACATACATTTTTTGTAATGTAAAAATACAGATAACACAATAAAATAAAGAACTTGTATTCCAGGAGTAATGCCTGCTCCAATAATTATTACTTTACATGAAAACAACCAATTTCATTTTAATATGTACGTGTTATTTGATATATCTTAAATATACCTATAAGTTAGGTATTTTATTTTAATTAAGATTAAACTTAAAGATTAAGATTAAACTTTAAAGTTTCAACTTACACTGAATATGCTATTGGACCCTTCATGCTGCCTTTATTAATTATTATTTCGATAATTAAATGGCAGAAAAATTCACAATTATGTAAATGTGAATTATTTCTTGATACTTTAATGCGATGCTCCAACAATGTCCTCTATATTTTTCAGAATCATAATACCAAAGTAAACAGCCCTACTGACAGGGTATATGCGTTATCTTGTGGTAAACTGAAGGAGATATCGGCACCTCTATCCTTGTCTTGTTCTAAAAACGAAGATAATGGAAACTCGTCATAGTTTATCATTTTGAGTAGAAAAATTTTTACCAAAATAAATAGAGATAGGTATTGTGTGTGCGCGCGCACACACGCGCCTATGTCAGAGAGAGAGATTGTTTAATCTACTTTCACTATATGAAAAAAAGATTAAAACATATTTAAAAAGTGAAGGGAAAACAAGAAAACGTTTACACTTCACTTTACACGAGCACGAAGAATTATCGATAATTTCTCTGTAAAAAATAAAATAAATGCAAATAATATAATACAGATAACAATCAGAATATGCTTATATAATGGTTGAACATGATAATTTACTATACATTATATATCAACGAATATCATGCTAAAAAAAATGTTTTGTAATATATTCAAATAGGTATCCATCCTTCTTTTTGGAGGAGAAAAGTGTTATTCTTGTACTTTGTTTTTTAAAGAAATATATGTATATGGTAGGTATTTACCACTTATATAGTAGTAGTTCAAACAAGTGAATGTTTTTATATGGCTATAAACGGACTTCTTTTTATTTATTTACGTACAAAACTATACGTTCGCCCATTTGCATGTGAAAGTATATATGTATTGTATCCACTATAAAGTGAATGTACTTTATTTAGCAATTAGTTATTTTATTAGGAATTTAAAAATGTGCAAGGAATATACTAGCTATTCATTATTATTTATGAAGTTGTAGTCAGTTTCTTTTTTCGTACAGATTGCTTTATTTCCTTGTTGTAGCTACATGTTTATTTAGCTTTCTTGTTCTTAATCTTTCTCATATAAAATTCAAGTTCCTTTCCTTCAAGTATATAACCGTCCGCTCGACCGCACTGTCCAGGCCTACTTGCTATACAAGCTGAAATTTAAATTTGAACTTAGAAAGAATTAGAAAACTCATAAAAAATTTAAACATACTACTATGATCCATTGTTATTCCGTTTAAAAAATGTATAAGTTATAAAACACGCAGAACAACCAATAAATACATTATACATCTTAGTTACATCCTTGCATCATATAGTATATGATAATTCAAACTCGTAAAATTGTACTGGCGAAATAAACAGTGAATTATGATAGTATGTAATGTATGTTACAAAATTAACGTATTCGTTATAAAAGAGCCGTCGGTTACCAAGAACACGTCCTGTTGCAAACTGTTCTTCTAAAGCAGGTTCGACTTTTGCGAATCGTTGTCTTGCTTTGTACTTAGCTTCTACTTTCTTCGAACGTTTTTTGTTTAAAACTTCTTCCTCAGCTTCAGTCTATACACGATTGTTGATTTGTTCGTTAGATCGTTTAATTATTGAGATACAAAAAGATTAAAAAAATTATCTAATTCTTTACCAATTTAGCACCTCGTTTACGACCCAGTGGTAAAACATAATGGCTTTCATACCATTGTCTGAAAGGTGTTGCATCAATTGTGACAACTGCATTCTTTACCAGTGTTTTAGTTCTCACCAATTCATTGTTTGATGCATTATAAACTACATCGATAATACGTGTTTTCCTTGTTGTGCATTCAGAACCCCATGAAAAATTTCCTGTATCCAGACGAAGAGCTCTATATTTCTTATTGCCACCTCTTGTACGCACCTGGTTTATATAACAACACAAAACAATCCATGAAGTTTGATTGTTTCATAACAAACGAATGTAGTACAAAATATAATTTTACTCAGTACGCTGTGAGATGAATATGTCAACACAATATTCAGAGTAGGTAAAGGTAATCATCATTTTATGTTCAAATGGTACTATATAATTTCCAGAAAGAAAGATTATTTGTCTTTGCAGAGTAATAATCATGTAAGTTCTAGTTGTTTACAATTTTGAAATAATTAAGTACTAACATTTGCAGGAAAACCTTTCATTATACTTTCTTCAAAACTGCAATTGTCATTTTTTCATGGTGAAAAATAAACATGTGTTAATATTTTTATATAAAACATTATATAATACCGTATGAATACGTTGAGTTCCAAGTTTTGTATTTGCAGCTGGACGTCCTAACTCAAACTTCCTCTTTTTACGAATAGGTTTCCTTTTACCACCGGTCGCTCGTCTCTTATGCCAATGGTCACGAGAGATACCTGCAATAGGTTAGTATTTTTCACTTATCACGATAAAACGATGAAACTTTAGTGGAAAGAAAGAAAAGGAACAAAAATAAATGAAAAATGTGCTAGTTATCGACAACAAAGTATCGTGCATCTTCATTTGTATACAACAAAGGAACAGTTCTATATGCATTTCGTACCGTATATTTTAGATAATAAGTATTGAATCAATGAATTCGCATTAAATGTACAATATGAACAAGAATGAATGTAACTAGGAACAAAAGTTTTATGTCAAAATGATGAAACGCTAAAGCCGCCAATACATCGATTTTCAAGTCTTTAAGCTGTATTTATCGAAATAATATTTATCCAAGTATAGAAAATTAATATATTTACGAGTGATTGATAATTGTTAATTAACAAATTTTAAAGAAAAAATGTCGATTCAAAACGATAACAAGAAAATTCACATTAAATCAAACAACTCACCCATGGTGCCTCAATCCAAAAGAACCTGAAACCTCCGTAATACTAGTAAGGCTTCTCTCTGCTTCCGGTACTGTCTACAAACGTATGCGCCCTCTGATCTAAATTACAGAAAACGCTGCATATCTAGTACTTATGTACATACTAAAAAAACGAAATCAACATTACTTCTTTTACCGTTTTACTACATTGCTTAATCGCATTATTTCTAATTTAATGAATTCTAAGAATATTTCTACATATATTTACAAATAACTGTCGATTTGAATATATATCAATTACAATGGAAATTTAGAGCAGAGTTTTACAAACATGGTCGATATATTTTAATTTTATACATGAATTTTCTTAACGGAATTTAATTAAATTCTGAATTGAATTTGATTAAAAATAGAAAATATGATAGAGGGATATTATGATATAGGGTTACTGCGATACGATTGCTTCTTGCAATATCATTGTTTATGTTTGTCCTGAGAATCAGTGATTGCAGAAAATTCAATATGGTGTCCGCCGTTCGAAGGTATATGTCGGATTTCCGTATTTTAAGGTATAACTAACAGCAGAAAGTTGTTTAATGCATCGTAATTATGAAAATTCGACTGAAGGACCAATGCGACATTTAAAAGCTGTAATGCCACAAAAGGACACTGTGTGAAAATTAATAAAAAAATTGTTATTTTTAAACTTTTTTCTATAAAATTGTACCTTAAGAAGAAAAGTTTGGATATTTAGAAGATAGAAAAATTGAAAAATATGGAAATGGAAAAAGTGAAGGAAACAGAGAGTGTTACAGATGGAAATGAATCAGAGGGTGAAGAAAGTAGTAGCACAGAAGAAAAGAATGAAAACTCTTTGACAGACATCGATACTTTAGACATTAAATCTCGACTTTGTTTGGAAACAACTGAAACGTATGGAGAAGCACATACAAGTGGCATATCTAGAGTGAACGGTATTTGTAATTCTCCTGAGAGAATTACCAGTACGGCTAATTTTCCACAATCTGAAACTATGGAAACTAGTCAGTTAAATGAACACGGTACGAGAAATTCATCTTCAACTACTTTCTCCCTGAAATATTGGTTCACTTAAAGATCTAAGCAATTTAAAGATGGCACATTTGGTTATACTATATTTGTTCCTTGCATATATTTAGGTACAGCAGAAACATTGGATTCTTTGGAAACTCAAGATTACAACATCCAATACGTTAGTTATTCAAGCGAACTGCAAATGCCTGATATTATGAAATTAATACAAAAGGATCTAAGTGAACCATATTCTATTTATACATATAGATATTTCATTTATAACTGGCCAAAATTATGCTTCCTGGTACGTACATTTGCAGCACTACCAAGTATATGGAAGGTTAGGTTAGGTAGAGATATATTAATTTCGTAATTTCAATATGATCTTCGCATGATTATTCCTATATATTATAGAGTGCCATGGTACATTAGTAAAATTAGCCGAATTAGGGGATGAAATGTTGAATATGGTATTAGGATGTATTGAGGAAGGGAAAGAACCATTAGCCAGCTTTGGTTGGATTCGTTTGTTTTGCAGACTTAGAATTAACAGAAAACTCTTGCTTTTTGTTGGTCAAGGCGATGCATGGCGTTGAGTGTGTCGGTGCTATTGTCTGCAAACTGGATGTCCACAGAAAGGTGATAAGGCGTGGATACATTGCGATGTTAGCTGTCGATGTGAAATATCGAAAACGGAAGATCGGATCAAATTTAGTAAGGAGAGCGATATTGGCTATGATGGAAGATCGTGCGGACGAAGTAGTTTTGGAAACAGAAATTACCAATCGACCGGCGCTACGGTTGTACGAGAACCTTGGTTTTGTGCGCGATAAACGATTATTTCGGTATTATTTGAACGGTGTGGATGCTCTTCGGTTGAAACTATGGCTTAGATCAAATTCACTTATGTATTCGCGTGAATAAAGAGATGAAATGAATTCTAACGAGGAAGAGATATAACGACGTAAATGTTCAATAATGTCCAGAAACATACAATGTTAAGACGCCAATGAGATAACCTATTGTACGCGCACAAAATTTTTCACTCGAAGCAAGAAAAACAATGTTGCAAATTACATTGCATAACGGATGTGATTGAACGTTACGTTTAATTATTAACTTGCCTGTTACGATGCAGTTGAACCGTTGATAAAAGGATAGTCGATCGTTAATTGTCCGAGTGAGGCATTCTCTTTGGTATTAACGTTCGTTGGGATAGAATACGATTGTACGTAGCTTAAGAAAAAGATAAAATGTAAAAAGTAAAGTAAAATGGGTGATAAAAAAAAAATGATGAGAAGTGAGAAGAAAGAAAACAATGTGCGGTGAGAATAATCAGTGTGTAAGTATGTTTGTTAAACGGTTGTTCTATGCCTTCTATCACAAGCTATTCGAGAATACGCGATATATGAACAGAAAGTGATTTGCGAGTTTATAATTACGATACATATGTAGAAATGGACTTGGTTAAAAAGTTTACTTATCATAATGAATTTACGGTACGACAAAATTGTCTTTATCGAATCGTGGATATCGTCGATTCTTTTACCGCGTGAGCATCGATTTAATATACGATATCAGATGCAAAGTTCCTCGGATACCGATTTCCTCAATGGTGAAATATATCCGATTGAGCATTGTAAAGTACGTAGTAAGGAAAATGTGCGTATACGTAAATACGTGCGTGTATGTGTTTCATGTATGTATGTACGTACGTATACGCCTATACATATAACGTTGAGCGTAAATGCGTATGCAAAGTGAGAATTGTGCAAATGAAAATGTTTCGAAGAAAGTAAAAGTTGCATGGGATTAAGAATGCGCAGTGCAAGCAAGATTTATCGCTGCCTACCTTTGTATAAAATAAATGCGAGGCATGTACGGATCATAGTATAACTATTAAAAAAGTGTAAAAATGTGAATAAAAGTACCTAAATGTTTTTAGAGTCAGCTATTATTATTTCCTATACGTAAAGTATTTTACATCAAAGCATCTTGAACATCACTTTGGGAATAACATTGAAAAGAGAGGGTGGAATCTTAATATCTTTTTGTTGCGTTCCTTTTATCCGCAAGTGGGATCGTTTCCAATCTTAACATCGCTTTATATTTTGAAAATTGAATAATATCTTTGTCGAAATAATGTTGTCTTTCCTATTTCTCCCTATTCTCTCTCTCTCTCTCTCTCTGAGTATCCATGTATAAATACATACTTAACTTACCCATGTGTCTATGCGTGTCTTTCCTCCTGTGACAAGCATCGTTTCTCACGAGGCGTATACTCGGATTACCGGCAATCATTTCCTAGGATAATGAGGAGTTATTGCGGAATTGTAATCGGAGACGAGCGCGAAAGGGGAGAGAGCGCTTTCGTCGAGAATGGTCGATCCAAACGAGGCTGTTATCAAGGCTTTTATCAGTTGACCAACCCTCGCAATTTACCTACATATATATTCCCTTGAAATTCAACCGATATTTTACTTGATTTATGTTAAATTTCTATTTGACGAACAGGCTGAATTTCTTTCATAGTTGTTTCACTCCGTTATTTCTTGCTTCGAGTCCCAGTATCGCGTGATCAACCAACGATTCAAATTTACGTCTTGAATTAGGTATTTTCTGTTTTTAGAGGAAAATGTTGTATCTTTCAACACGCGACATACTCACGAAGTAAGGCATCGATGATAGGTATTGGTGGGCGGCGGAGGAAGTTCTCGTAATCTTAAATGTACAGGTAGTTCTCACTTTACGAATTTTTATCTTTACAAATTTTCTCGATTGGAATTTTTATTTTAAATTGTACGGGGAATTGTGCGGTATGTAATGACGTAACGATCAGTTAGAACGAGCCTCGGTCACACTTACGACCTTTACAAATTCCCAATTTACGAACAATCGCCAGGAATTGATTAATTTGTAAAGGCGGGAATTACCTGTATATATCAAAGTAAAGTATACCGATTGGCGATAAGTTGAGCAAGTCTCTCTTCTTTTTATTTTACCCTTTCACGAAACGTGCACGTTGTGTATGTATACTATACACGTTATATGTAGGTAATTTCTAAACGCGCGTATCCGTAGAAAATTGTTATTACAAGCAACAGTTTCAGCGGGTATTTTCCTTTGAAAATTTCTATCCTTGAATCCTCTCACAAGTCGTCGTTCTTCTCTGTTCCATAGTTCCGTTAACACTCTCGAATACCTATCTTTTCCCTATCCGTCATCAAGAGATTTGTAAGAAATTCAAGTATCGGTTCTACTCTTTTTTTTTTTTTTCTTCATTTTATCACAGATTTACATGGTGTTATTATCGTGTATAAAATTTCGTATGCTGCGTGCGCGTATACATATGTATATCTTATATACCTACACATGCGTGTTGCTCGTCAAGTTCCGTTCACCGGTCATTTTAATTCGAAATATTCGTATAGTTGATAGTACCTACTGTATATGTATATAAGTAAGTACGTGTATGTGCCATACGTGACGTTCGGTTAAAAAGTTGGCCGTCTTCTTGATACGGAAACCGTAGACCATATTTCTGTAACATAAAGATAACAAAGAGAGAAAATCGTTTATTTCTTTCGTCAACTTTCTTCTCTTCCTCTCCTTTTCTCCACCCGGTTCTTCTTCTACACATAATCGAAACTTGTGTCAATTTTACTCGTTGAAACGAATCACGAAAACTCGAGGAGCTCGAAACGTGTATTACAGCGTACTTACGTATAGAATTGTATTTACTCGATGGTAACGGTCCAATCGAAATAGACGATTTGAAGTTTAAACACCTGGATTTAGCGAGGAAACGTAGGTTTCGTAGAGGGAAGAAATAGCACGAGCGTGGATAGAATTGTTATAAGCGAAGAGTTGGTGTGCGCGATTCGGGTTGTGGTTGTTATGATGGGGGGATAATGGATCGAGTTTCATATTTCACTTTGAAAGCTCTTCTAAAGGTTCCGGAGGAGAGACCGGAAAAGCGGTTAACGAAAGCGAAAGTTTGATTAATCCGTTAAATGGGAAAAGTAGTGAAGGAGAGATGATCGGGGGAAGATTGGAAAAATTCCGAAAGAAACGTACAATGATCGATGGGGAAAAAGGTACGCGAGGCTGTAGGATCGCGATCACGATCAGAGGAACAAAGTGTGTACACATCTGTATGTACGTATGTACAGTAGATATCTACCGAAGAGCGAGAAAGTGCAAGTGTCCTCGATCCTGAAGCGGAAGTAACACGGCAACCTATTGAAAACGTACGTAGGTATAATGTACTTACACGTTGTATAACATGGTAAACGTACGTACGATACGAACAAACGTGTATATACGGCTCCAACTCTAGCGCACCATCTTCGATTTATTTCTCATACACGTGTGTTTACATGTGTATGCATATTCCTTCCTTTCTATCTCGCATTTCTATTTCCATTTCTACTCTTATTACAGTTCAGAACTAATGAAATTTTCCAGCAATTTCTCTTCTCAGTTTCGAACAAGCGGGGGAACGAAAGTGAGCAAGCACGAAAGGAAAAAAGAATGGATTTTTTTTTAAACGACCCGTTTAAACAGGTAGAAAGAAGGAGTACGCTTCGTTTCATGTTTGACGGACACTTTGAATTTCTATTAAATCACGCTTCTCACACTGCCAATCCTTCGACCTGTGCACCACCTCCTTCCCGTTTGCTTCCTCGGTTTTTCTCTCCCTCAAGAGACCCCCGCCGTGTCGTTTCGTCGAATTTAATCATGTTCTATCAAAGCATACAAGCTAGACGGGCGATTTTCGAGAAATTGATTCGCGTGGAAAGAAAAAAGTGTAAAAATGTTGCGAAGCGAAGAACGGGAGAACCTTTCTTTCTCCCCTGCTGACAAATGAAATCGACGTTATTCAACGAGATAACGAACCAGCAAGATCATTTCTCTTCGTTTCAATCTCCTTCGTCTCTTAATTGTCACCAAGATCACTTTTCATTGGTCATTCTCCTATCTATTCGAGACACATCAGCTTTTCTATGCTTCTCGTTTTCGACTCGTTATGTATGTACATATCAGGGGCTTCGTGTAGAAATGCTAACGAGGGAATTAGCAATTTGCAATTAGCAACAACACACACACAATCTGATTTTCTCTATGCTGTCTAATGGAGATGGCGGCAACAGTCCATCAGCCAATAGATAACGTAATCGGTTCCCCGACGGGGGATACCACCCTTCTATGTAGATTACTCTAATCGATAAGAACAAGCCGTAATTCATCGAAAAATCACTACACGCGTATGGTATACAACGTACGCAGGGTTGTGTTATATTCTTTTCGTTATCCTTACGCTTGCATCGTTCTTCGCTCCGTTTCTTCTTTCATCGTGTGTTCGTGTGTTCGCATTATAGCAGACGGTCGAAATTTCACTCGTACAGGGGAAGAACGAGAAGGATTATATATGTGTACGGGTATGTGTGTGTGCGTATCGAATAGAAAGAAAAAGTACTCACGATAAACATAATCGAATCAGAGAGTTTCCATCTCGAAGTCTCTCGATACGTTGCTGGTGGTTGCGTCGAGGGCGATCAATTCGCAACCCGCCGGATTTTCGTTTCTTGTTCGCGTTTCGGTCGATGCTAGTAAAAATTCTTGGAAGGTGTTATTTCCGTTCGATTCTTTCATTTTTCTCTCCGATCTGTCGCCGGTCCTTGAATCACGGCCACCGGTGCTGGTTGCTTTCGCGAAACACGGCAGCACCTTCGAAACAAATCAGAAGAGATGAAAATTATACACGACAGTTTTAATTACATCGACCGTCTACCATTGCACACACGGGCGTGTTAATCGAAAGAAACAGGAAACGACGACAAGTCGTCCTAGTATCGTACCCGTATACACGTTACATACATTATACACGCTACGCTGTACAAAGTCTATCGTGGAACGTTCGCGATGCAAATTGAGACACAACTTTTCCTTAAAAGCTTTTCTCTTTTCGAACTTAACCGCAACTTTCGATTGAATAATACAGCCTCCAGTGTAATCTCTATTATCGCCTCGACATTCTTTTCACTCGCGTGCTTCAGTTTATTCAATAAAGCAAATCTGGCGAACGAGCGAGAGTAGAGGGAAGGGAGCAAAGTTTTACGCACAAGTGTAACGTATTATAAAAAAGTAGGGGGAAAGATGTAGAGTAGAATGGGAAGAAGTGAAACAACGTACTTGCTTAAACTCTTTGCGAAAGTTATCGTTGAGCCAAGCGTAAAGGAAAGGATTGTAGCAGGTGCTGCTCATAGCTAGGCAGTGCGTGAAGAAAAAGCAGAGCCTGTAATAGGACCAATCGTTCGCCGGTGAATAAAAGTCGTCGATCACGTTGACGATGTTGAGAGGTAGCCAGGATATTCCGAACACGGTGACCATAGCTATCAGCATTCGGTTCGTTCGTTTCTTTCTCTCTCTGTCCGCCTCTTCTCTCTTGCTGGTCTTCCTTCCGGGTCTCGATCTGGCTTGATCTTTCAGCCTGATCGAGACGCAGGTGTAGCAGAAAGCGATCACGAGAAACGGCACGACGAATTGCAATATCGTTGTTACAGAGCTGAAGACCTTGCGGAACCGTTCGTTCGGCCAGTGTTCCTCGCAATAGGTGTACGGCTCCTCAAGGTGCATGTAAATTCCGTAAGGCAACGTGACAAGTAACGCGATTATCCATATACCGAGGATCACGCCTAAGCAAACCTCGATTTTCATACGAGGATGGAACGGATATATGATCACGATGAATCTGTCGATCGCGATGCTCGTCAACGTTAACGTGCTGATGTACACGCTGACACCTTGGGCGTACGGTACCAAGTGGCAAAGTGTTTCGCCGAATATCCAACCGCCGAGGAACGTGTACAGAGGGGTGAACGGAACCGCCAGGACGCAAAGTAGCACGTCGCTCAATGCTAGATTGGTAATGAACAGATTCGTCACGGTCTGCATTTGACGGCTTCTTGCTACGACGAAGCACACTAGTATGTTACCAAATAAACCCATCGCAAAAATATTTCCATAAAGTAAGTAAAATATCAGTTGCACTGCACCGTTCGACGTAACGTCCTTCTCTAAAGCCGTCGCCGCTGTGGCCGCCTCCGTCGCCGCCTTACTCGACGATGGTTCCTCGGTCATCGTCTCCGCATCCTCCATTTCTCAATCTCCTTTCTTCCTCGGTCTTCGTTCTCTTCCAAATTCTCTCTTCTTTTTTCAATCGAACGCAACTTTCGCCCGTAACTGAAAACATATTCTTTATAGTTCGATTGTCATCGTTTCGTATTTTTATCGCGATTACTATACCAAGTTGCTCCAAGTTTCCTCGATACGGGAAACGATAGAAAATAGAATAAACGTCGGAAATAATTATTCGTCACTTCTTCTTCTTCTTCTTCTTCTTGTCTTTCTTCGTTTCCTCGAATCTTATGCAATTAGCGACAAACTTAACGCGAGAAAAGTTTTTCGCTCAAGGCGACGATGATATATCCCGATGATAGATCGTTTCAAGATACGCCTTGCTATTGACGAGATACGTACGTTTCATTGGAAAACTTCCACTTCCGGTTTACGACAAACTGAACGACCTGTCTTAAAAATAGTGAAATCTGGTGGTGTTTCTCGAGGTTACCGAGTTTAAAACATTCCCCAAAAATAGAACGGTATTGCGTGATCACGAATCGTCCTCTCTGATCGGTGCCACCAGTCTATACGACAAACTTTTTCCACTCGACGGGAATCACTCGGTTCGAGTGAAGAGATTTTCCAGGAGAGGAGCCAACTAGAGAACGAGATGAAAATGATTTTGCCTTCTGGCCACCTGTTGACGATCCCGCCGCGCTTCACTTTTTTCACCTTACTCTCTTATTAGAGAAGTATACCTATATGTACGCGTCGTGAGTAACGTACATGCTTGTACACGTTACAACAGAATGCGATCAAACGAGCACTAGAAGTATTTGTAATAAAAACAAAAACTATCGATGGAAATTTTCGACGAGTTTCGAATCGATCGTACAAACTTATTCGACGAAAAAATCGTAATCTCAACAACTACGCGACGACGGGATATTCTTTCGGTATCACTTCGGAAATCACTGGCACGCACTAACACGTTGGAAACACTTCGCACAGAACGTTCGATCGAATCACCTAAACTTGGTTGATCAGTTTACGGTATTTGAGATTCTTCGAAAATTCATTCGAAATCATTTCATCTCGTTGCATGCCCCTTCGTTGAAACGAATTTTATAACAACTGTTTCTTCTTAAAAGAATTCTAAATCAACTTGATGCTGCTTCTTATTTCACGCTTCCCTTTACGGACGGAGGACGTAGAAAACGCCGTGACGTTTCACGTGTTTAACGACCAAGCGCTTTCGAACTGACGAACGGCCATTACCACCACCTATAACTGAAAATGGAAAATTGCTGGCAAAAGCCAACTAGACAAGCCGCCGTTTTCTCGCGCAGGCGTCCGTATTATCATCCGCGCATCCTCTCGTCTCTTTACCCCCCCGCCCCGTAAAAACTTTTGTCGTTCGTTACTGTATTGTTGCATGTACAGTGACATCTCTCGATATAACCACGAAATATTTCACCATCGTTGATCGGTCTCACGGGGGAAAATTTTCAATAAACGGCAGAAAATTAACAATAGCTGTAATTATCAATTGCAACGAATTTTACCGGATTTGCAACGCTAATCAAGTTATGAACAATTTTGAAATATTCATCTCTCCGTTCTTTAACGTGTAACCTCTGTGCCGTGTTATCGAACACTCAAATTTTTCGGTTAAAATGTTCTTCTACGATAGTATCGCAGCTATTCGCTCCTATTATTTGTTATATAATTTATGCAACTAGTAATTATGTAATAAATAATATCGATTGAGCAGATCTCACCACCCGCGAATTGAGATGCACGCCCTATTCGTATCCCAGTGTACCTTACTTTTACGAAGATAGTTCTTTTCATCAAAATATCGTATGTGGTACAATCTCTTGAACATGTTTGATCTTCGAACACTATGCAAACGATAATAGAACGAGAATTTGTTAAATGGACTTTCTCAGATGGACCTGTAATTAGTAAAGCTTGATACTGTGTTAAATTTGAAATGAAAACTAAAATTAAAATTAGCTTAAATGAAAATGTCACCGATATGAAATCTTCAACTGAATTTTGACAATTTCTACTATTGGTCCAGAGATCTTCTGCCGTTACATTCTGACACTGACTACATATCTTATATCCTAATTTATCATTGAAATATGTTCTTTCTTCGTAATTAACTATCTTCTCGTTTTTACTTAGATCGCTCTAATTATTATTAAGAAACTAGCTATAACTAAATTATACAATGTATAATAAAGAATTTGTTACAAGTATCATTTTACGCATGTTTTCACACAAATTTATGTACAGCGGACATACTATCGCCTGTGAAACACGTTTACAATTCCTCCTTGCACATTTTGTAATCCTAATACAGACTCGTTAGTTCAATCATCCAAACGCAAGATGGTGATGGTGTCACCACATCGCCTTCTCCTATCCTTGTCTATTTCTGTTCAGTTGCTATACTTCTTCCTTTTCATTGCTGTCCTAATCTAACTGATTGTCCAAGCATCAAGTGCACTACTGAAGGTAACTTGTCTTTTATTAACGTAAACGAAACTGAACGATAAACCATACACTTTATTTACTAGTTAGATATCCCCATAAGATATCTGAAATGTGGTCAATAGGTTTTCAGTGTACTTCTAGCGACCTTTTTCAGTACCTTTTCTATTTTACGAAATTGACCGGTGATCAGGATAAGGGTAGCCGAATTATCAATTGCTAAATAAATCATTACCATTCGCAATTGTGCAAGTGGCGATTGTAGAATGTTGCTATAGTACTGTGTCTTATCGTTTAGCGTTAAATTATTGGTAGATTAGCGGTAATTTATTGAACAATCACAAGGAGTTCGAACATATCTGTGCAATAATACGGTAATTGCATCTTCCGGTTATGAAGAAGCGGTAAAACTATCAGGATCAATTAATCACAATTAGTATCTCCCTATTCACGCGTTTCTTGTTTACAGTCTTCTCAGCCATTCTGTGATCCTATCAGTTCGTGACATGATTCCAGAGTTAAAATTCTGTTACTACCGTTGAAAGAATCATACTTACCGTTTCGTTCAGCAGCAGACTATCTCGAACATTAATCGTTGACTTACCTAGTGGAAAATTGGATCGTGTGTAAGGAATGGAAATGGCACAAGATCATTTTCGACCGACAAATGTGGCGAAGGAACAAGTAACTCCGCGTGTGTGGTAGATTTGAACCTCCCACTGGAACGAGTTAGATTAGGTTAGGTTGAATTAGATCAGGAGAGGAAACGCAACGGGGAGAGTTTAATAAATCTCCCAAACTATACAATGATCGTGGTATATATGTGCCGTGTGTAGTCGTAATGTGCAGGAACACGTTGAGATAGGGAAACATACGTACACACATTGCTAGAAAAATTATTCGTCCTATGTTTGTTTGTATTAGGAATCATATACAGTAACGGTACAACACAACGCGCAAGCCGTTCTCGCACAAATTGTACGAAAAGGGTATGTGTGTAATTGTCTGTCAATTGCATAATATTCTGTGACTCTGAAAAAGTTTGCATCGCTGGCGTACTTTTTACTCGCAGCTTGAAACATAAAATCTGGAGCTTCACTCGTCGCACATTAGACACTCGCGCATAATCGTGAGTTGCGTTCTCATGGAAGTTCCACATGCATACTATGTACAGAACAATGTTTCAGGTGAAGAGCAACGAAGAGCAGCAAGCGAATGAAAGAACATTCTTCGTTCACGTTTTTCTCTTTTT